TATCAAGTTGATTTTATAAAATTGCATCTTCTAAATTACCCGATACCAAGTCTTGTAACCAAAATTTAAATTTTTGTTAATAATTGGTAAATGGGATATATAAAATTTGCATTGCTTCATTAAGAAAATTAAGGAAAAATAAAATATGATAGTTATTTTTAAGTTAAAATTATGTTCAATTATTCTTGCTTTGTAAATGGTGATTCTAATTAATTTAATAAATGTTTACACTTGATTGCAAAGACTCCCAATTTTAAGATGCTTACTTGTTTCAACTCTTTTAATATACAACAAAACCTATTAAGAAAATTTTTAAAATGTTGCTTAATTAGTAAAGCTTTATACTAAGCCCCAAAATACTCAAGCGATTTTCGCTTTACGTGAACAGTGACTGACATGCAAGCCAACAGCCTGACATTAACTAAATGTAATAGAAAGACTACATGTTTAATTGACGTTGTTGTCTATATAAATGGAAGATGGCAGGGAGAGAGAACTTATGTAGACATTTTTCTATGTACCAAAAATTGTGCAATGTACTCTTCTTAAGTCAACTCCTTTATTTATGTATATTAAATGCAGGCATATATGATCTACCATCTTTTAGATTTAGTTCCTTGGGAAAGGTTCCCTTCAATTAAACTCCCTATAAACAAGTAATAATGACAAAAATGTTTCAAAATTTAGCCTACTGTCACAGGTTCCAGGCAAACAAATGAAAAGTCAATTAGAAAGAATAGGAGACCATACCTCATAAAACAGATATTTTGATGTTTTGGTACTTTTTCTAGAGGCTAACAAATAGTATTTTCCAATTACTTTTCTTTTTGAAAACCTATCTTACTAGTTCAACTAACAAAAGTTCCCACATGGAAGAAAATAGCTCAGTTCACCTTTTGGAGAGCTATCAAACTACATTTCAATTACACTTTACCAGGCACTTTAAAGAGCAAAATTTCCAAGAGGAGCAAAAAGCAAAGTTTGTTAGCTGGTGTGAGTGATGACCAAGGGCTACTTACTACACATCACACTGCTTCTTCATTTTAAATTTATTTAATATGATGGTGTTTGTGTTTTTCTTTGGTCTGTCCTGTTTGGTTTACTGAGCTTCTCAAATCTATAAATTTATGTTTTCATCTAATGTTGTGAAGTTTGGGGCCATTAATAAATTATATACTTTTTCCATGCTAATCACCTTTTTCCTCTCTTCTGGAATGCATTTTAATGAATACTGATGTTGTTCCTCATGTTCAAGGCTCTGGGTGGGCTTTGTGTTTATTTTTGTTTTCCCCTTCAATCTTTATTCTCTCCTGTTTCTCTGTGTAGATAATTTTTATTAGTCTATCTTTAAGTTAACTGACTCTGTCCCTTCCATTCTGCTTTGGAACTCATGTAATGAATTTTCTAATTGTCACTAATCAGTTGAGAATTTCTACCTTTTCATTTATTTCAAGCATGCTTACCTCAGGAACCAGAGTTATAATAGCCATTTTTAATTATTTGTTATTTCCAACATCTGGATCTTCTCAGGATTGACATCTAATTGCCTATTCCCTTGAGATTAAGTCACATTCTACTAGTTCTTCGTATATCAAGTAATTTTAGACTATATCTGGTACACTATAAATCTTACATTTACAGACTCYAGGTCCTGTGTCTTGTTATAATCCTTTAAAGAGTACTGATTTTTGTTGTTGTTGTTGCTGTTGTTGTTTATTTTAGCAGGCATATAACATAGTTAGATTCAGACTACAATTTCTGCTTCAACTTCTATAGACTGTGGTTCTAACAACAGTTCATTCTCAAAGTCTGCTATGCTGCTTTGGGCCTAGTCCCACGAATGTACAATTTGGCACTTAGCTTGAAATGCTGGTGACAGTTTAAATCATACTTTCAATAATTTGGGTCTGTTTTGTGCATTTGAAGCTTGGATAGTCTGAACATATACAGACTCATATACTGAATTAGGGGATTCCCTCTCCAGCTCTCTCTTCTCCAGAATTTCCATTATATTCTCTGGCACATGGGGGTCTTATTGGGACACCAGCTGCTAGAGCCACTGCTGCTATCTAGCTCCAGACTGGGGTCTGCCATCAGGACAACATGGCAAAAGGAAAAAAGAAAAAACAGAAAGTTCATGTCCAGAAGGGTCACTTCGCCAAATTACCACTACCTTCCATAATCTGCCTACTTTGGTCTATTTGACAGAGTCCCTAGATAGTTCTATTTTGTATTTTGACCCATTTTTTTATGCAGTTAGAGAGCAAGAGAGGAGCATTAGTGGGATTATGCCACCTAAGCTAGAAATAAACCCACAATGCATGTTAAGAATGTCTTAGCGGGCTAGGATGTGGCTCAAGCGGTAGCACACTCGCCTGGCATGCGTGTGGCCCGGGTTTGATCCTCAGCACCACATACAAACAAAGATGTTGTGTCTGCCGAAAACTAAAAAATAAATATTAAAATTCATTCTCTCTCTCTCTCTCTTTAAAATATATATATATATATATATATATATATATATATATATATATATATATATATATAAAGAATGTCCTAGCAGCACTGAAGTTCACAGAGTAACTTAGATATAAAAAGCAAATCAACCAGAGTTCCTCAAAAATACAACTTTGGTGGACTGGGATACACCTCAAAAATGGAGCACTTGGCTCTTCAATCCCTAACACTGGGGAAAAAAATAGAGAACAGGGGCTAGAGTTGTAGCTCAGTGATAGATCACTGCACTTACCTCGCACGTAKGAGGTACCAAGTTCAATCCTCAGCACCACATAAAAATAAATAAAGGTATTGTGTCCATCTATAACTAAAAACTACTTTTAAAAAAGAGAGAGAAAAAACACAAAAATACAACTTTGGAGTACTTGTGAAAGAAAATGAAAAGCCATTTATGTTATTATTAACAATAAGATAATAGCACATGTTTACAGTCATCCTAGATAAGAGATAGATAGATAGATAGACAGACAGACAGACAGACAGACCTTGTCTTCCATAAATGGATACATTAAAAACACTTCTTAGTGAAGAGGTAGAAGCCAGTAGAGCAAATGCTACTAAATTATATTTTTCCCCATTAGGTTTTAAATTCTTAAAGGATGGAGTCCATGTTTCAACTTCCTCAGTACATTTGATAAAATCTATTTTAGTATTCCCTACAAAACCACTGGCTAATTAATGTTATTGACTAATTTTGTAATTTTGCAGAAATCAAAGGAAAAAGGAACTAATCTTGGAAAATCCAGAAGACTATTAAAATCTAGAAGACTATTTAAGACCTCTTCCACCAATCTTCATTTATCTAAATCCTAAAAATGGCATGAAACAAACACTGTCCATTTCTCAAAGAATACCATAATTTTAAGGTATTTCAGGGACAACTTGAGTAATGTATCATCTGGTCTCATTCAAACTACACTTATAAGACAATGGCTCAGCTGCTGTGACCAAAATGACCAAAACAACTAGTTTCTCAAGAAAAATAAGACAAAGGCCAAAATGAAAACCATCATTACATTGGGGGTATGTTAGATATAACAGAGAGAAAGACAACTGAAACAAAGTTACCAAAGATGAGCTAAAGTAGTTAGGGCTCCCCTGTTCCAAAAGGGAAAACTTTCAGGACTATGTAGTAAAACTCTATGCAATCATGAGTGTTATGCAAAGAGCGAGTCCCATATACTAAGATTAACCAGATCTTGAAACTAAAATGTGATAGAGCATTTGCTAKTAAAGCTTCAGAACAAATAATATGAACTAGTATTTAACATAGCAAATGTTAAGAGATATAGAGATGTAAAGACAGAACAACTTAAGTTTCAGCAAAGAGTTAAATTAAATCACAACTAGATATCTATAATGATGAATTCAGGAAAGCCAATGAAATTTGAAATATGCCTATAACCTCTTCTGCTTCCTTAAAAATAATAGCAACTAAACATATTCTATTATTGGATTGTGAAGAGATATTACTCAATACAGCTTTTCTTACTCATGAAGTTTATTCTTAATGTCAGCCTTAAAACTTTAATAGTATTATAGACAAGTTATTGGCCAGAAGCTTAGAAAACCAGATTAATTCTTTAATTAGTCTACTTCATAGGATCATGGCAGCTAACAAAATAATTTTTAGACTTTTAAAATTCAACTATTCTGACATGAAGAAATGCTATACATCAACTATAATAAACTGCAATATCTACAAAACTAAAGTTTTATTTTTAAGTTTACAATAAATCTTATAAATATAAATTTCACATGAAAAATAACCAGAAATACAATCATTGTCATACTTTATAAAGTCCCATTTTTAATTTTTGAATTGTTTTGAAGGAACAAAGATAATCAGAGAATTCCTACTTTTATGTTAAAACATTTCAAGTAATCCCTGAAATTGCCTCACTGAAAATGTAACCTAGGGGTCTGGGATTGTGGCTCAGCGGTAGAGCGCTCGCCTAGCCCGGGCGGGACCCGGGTTCGATCCTCAGTACCACATAAAAATAAAGGCATTGTGTTGTGTCCATCTACACCTAATAAAATAAATATTAAAAAAAAAAATAAAATGTAACCTAGATCCAAAGAAGGAAGGAAAATTGACCAGGCTCTGGATTAAATTCATAGTAGCATAAAAAAAAGAGGGTGAGGGGACAACAATCTGACATTATAACCTCATTTTTTCTATAGCTATACTAAATAAGGTACACAGTGGATTTTTCTGTTTTTATTTTTAATATTTATTTTTTAGTTGTAGGTGGGCAAAATATCTTAATTCCATTTTTATGTGGTGTTGAGGATTGAACCCAGGGCCTCATGTGTGCTAGGCAAGCACTCTACCACTGAGCTACAACCCCAGCCCTCTGTTTTGTTTTTAAAGTTAGCAATTTGGCACTAACAAAGATACCAAATATCACCACAAGAAAAAGATACTTGGGAATACATCTCCATATAACAAAAAAGACTTAAAATATAGCAGATATACATACTCCTTTTGGAAAGCCATGCACATGGGAGAACTAAATCCAAAGACGAGGCACATCTGGGCATCTGGGCTGTAGCCATTCTGGAGTAATATTTCCAGGCACTCTTCATGTCCTCCAAACACTGCAGAGTAAACAGGGCTCACTTTGTCCAGTCCAGTGTCACAGGCCCGGTTAGTAAGTGGTATTAACAAGTCCAAGATTCTACAAATAAACAAATTCAGGAGGATTTAATGTTTTCATATTTATATGAGGGTAAGCAACATTTCCATTGCATGTATTTTAAGACATTTATTGATTTAAAGAAGTATTTCTGTCTTTAGTATACTTGCTATCTCTGGTAATTACTACATGACTAACTAGTCCAAATGTTACACTTGTAGTTTCATAATATAAAGATCCTTAAATATACCTGAAACAGAATTATGTAATGTTTCTACAAGTAAATAGGTAAATTTTTTATCTTTTTTTTTTTAACAAATTACTGACTTACCACCTTCCCTCCAAAATTCAAATTCTGTTACATATTTTAGGATCTTAAATGATTAAATATATATTACTAAATAAAGTACCTTCCTTCTAAAAGTACCAATTAATTTTGTTTTTCCAATTAGTATAAATTTTTAAAGATAATGAGTGACATGAAATAAAGAATAGTAGGAATCAGGAAGAAATTCAAATTTCTGCTAAGATAGTCTTTGAAAAAAATATGTGCTTATTGAAATTTAAGGCAAATTTGGGGGTGGGAATATAGCTCAGTTGGTAGAGTGCTTGCCTTGCATGCAGAAGGCCCTGGGTTCAATCCCCAGCACCACACACACACACACACAAAAAAAAAAAAAAAAAAAAAAAAAATTAAGGCAAATTATAAAGAAGCTGGATGCTAGGTAGAGAAAAGTTCTAAGGAAAATCACTAAAAGATCTTAGATTATTTGTAAAGTTAGGTCTAGTAATCAGGTGAAGAGAAAAAAGAACTATTGTTCTCTTCTAAAACTGAAAATAAAACTGTAAGGATTAAGTAAGCCAGGAAATTTCCCCACTTCTGGGAAAAGACAGGGCTACTCCAAAGTATCTTTATAACATTGTATTTCTCTTTGTGATTTTTCCTTATGTAAACTAGATAAGATAACATTAAAGGAGAACTTACATTCTCAGAAAGGGTTACCTTTGAAGTAGGCTAGGAGGAGTCATTCATGGCAAACAGAAGTCTCAAAATTGAGCACAATTAAGGGTAAATTCCTAAAGGAATTTTGGTATCAACTATAAAGCTCAGCATATAACTGCATCTAAGAGTTATGCTTAAAAAAAAAGAAGTGGGAAGGCTAGAGATGTAGTTCAGTGGTAGAGTGTTTGCCTAGCATGACTTAAGTCATTGGGTTCAATCTCCAGCACAGGAAAAGGGGTGGGGAAGAAGCATAGTGAAAAATATAAAATTCTAAAACCTAAGTATCTTGCTAAAATAAAGGGTCTACTTAATAGCTCTTAAATTTAATAAATGTGTCTATTTGTTTAAATGGGTTTGAAAATTTTTACTCTTTTCCTCAAAGCACAAATAAGCTTACAAATACCTTTAAAGACACAGTGAAATACCATGCCACCTAGTGGTACAATAAGCAAATTGTAGACTCTGTTTTCCTAGTATGTAAACAAAGTAATGACCATTTTTATTTTTTAAATTAAATAATACCAACAACAGCTATAAAAAGTATTATGGTAGAATTATGACTCTAAAGATTGTAGACATGTTTAAAAAAACTTTTAGGTGTCTATATATAATAGGCAGCCATAGTCTTATAGAACAAGGTTACCAGTTTCTAAGAGTCCTATAATTCCTGATTTCCTCTTCCAAAAAACACCGATAAATTCACAGGAACTCTTAAGAAAGATGAGATAAAAAGAATTTCAACCAAAGGGTTCAAGATAGGAAGGTCTACTCAGCATATACGAATGAAAGACTCCATTGTGAGGGGTCACGAGCTCAAATACTTTCTGAGGTTATGGAGACAATGTAAGTGAATGAGGGCATCAGAATCCTAGCTGAAGATAAAACTAACAAGGGTGAAAGGATGGTCATAATCAGAGAAATCAGAGGGGAGACACTACACCCTAAGAAAGCCTCAGAATGTACCCCATCTCTAACCATTCTGCCTCATGGAAGGAAAGTAAGATCAAGAGGAGCTAAAGATAACATGGGGACAGATTAGGAACAGACCTAGTCACCAAGCAGATTGGATAGGGAGGGAAATACCAAGGATTTTGCCAGGAGGTAAAAGGTCTGGCCCAGATTTATTCCTTATTAACTTTTAATTAGGAGATCATTTTTATTCTCTGTTTTTAACACTTACTTTGCATGGCCCATTTGTGCAGCTGCATGAATAGGTAACTGCCAGTTGTCCTCATTACAGTAAAGATCAGGATTTGCCCCACTGGAGAGCAAAAGTTCCACACATTTTGTGTGACCCTCTTGAGCAGCAATGAACAAGGGAGTAGCTTTGTCCAACGCTTGACAATTTACATTTGCTCCTAACACAAAATAAAACATTTAACAGAAAATCTTCACTAATGTTAAAAAAAAACTTATAAAATTCAAAGCAACAGCCATAAAAGAGTTTGACAGTACATTTTTTCTCTCTCCATGGATGTTGTTGAATAAACACATATTGCTAACTTGCTAGGAATCATTTATATTGTTTTTGCTCTTATGTCAGCAAGAAAACAATCATATTTTAGAATTCATTTTTAACTAAAACACAACTCCTGTTCAATGAAATATGCATTTCATTTCAATCCCTCCTCCAACAAGTACTCTTGGGTTCAAAATGTAAACATATAAAAGTAAAATGCAAACCATCAAATATGGGTAACATTTCTGAGACTTACTGAGAAAGATGAGAAAAGGCCAAGTTTTGAGACATTATAGATGCCACTAATTGATTAAGGCTAAGATTCATGAAAAAAAAAATACCAATAGATAAAACATACATGGAATCTATGACTTAAAACTAGTATTAATATTAACTATGCTCTTTATTACACCTCTTCCTTCAAGACTATTGCATGACAAAGCTGACAATAAAAAGGTATTTTTAAATAGATTTCTGAGCTTACTTTATAATCATAAACCTAATCAAGTTGTTTCAATACCAATGTATAAAGATTTTAAAAGGTTGAGAATGACTTTAATTTTTGTGAGTTTTGAAAATAGACCCCAAACTTTTCTCATTGGCAAACAATGTATTAAATATGTTAAGTATTGTGTTACCACATGTTCATGAGATTATTTTAAATTTTATGGAATATAACTCAATAGAAAAATCATAATGGATGGGGAAATTCAAATTCTCTTTTATTTAAAAGGATATTTGTAAATGCACCTTGAATAAACCAAAGCCCTGAGATAGATAAAAACTATGCAAAATACAAATGGTAAGTTAAAAAAGACTATGGAATCTTCAGGAATTCCAAACATGCTAGACAACTAGAATCTTCTTACTTAGAAGAGGTGGGTGCAATACCTGCTGCCAGCTTCAGAAAGAAGTGAAAACCATTACTAAGAAAAGACTAAATCAATTGAAGGCATTCCCTCTAAAAACTGAAACAAGACAGGGATATCCTCTTTCACCACTTCTATTTAACATAGTTCTTGAAACACTGGCCAGAGCAACTAGACAGACGAAAGAAATTAAAGAGATACACATAGGAAAAGAAGAACTCAAATTGGCACTATTTGCTGATGATATGATTCTACACCTGAAAGACCCTAAAAGTTCCACCAGAAAACTTCTAGAACTAGTAAATGAATTCAGCAAAGTAGCAGGATATAAAATCAACACCCATAAATCAAAGGCATTTCTGTGTATCAGTGAGAAATCCTCAGAAAGGGAAACAAGGAAAACTACCCCATTTTCAATAGCCACAAAAAAAAAAAAAAAAAAAAAAAAAACCTTGGGAATCAACGAAAGAGGTGAAAGATCTATATAATGAAAATTACAGAAAGAAATCAAAGAAGACCTGAGAAGATAGAAAGATCTACCTTGCTCTTGGACAGGCAGAATTAATCTTATCAAAATGACCATACTTCCAAAAGCACTATACAGATTTAATGCAACTCTGATCAAAATTACAATGACATTCCTCATAGAAATAGAAAAAGCAATCATAAAACTCATCTGGAAAAATAAGAGACCCAGTATCCTTAGCAGGAAGAGTGAAGCAGGCAGCATCACTATACCAGACCTTAAACGATACTACAGAGCAATAGTAACAAAAACAGCATGGCATTGGCACCAAAACACATTGGTAGACCAATGATACAGAATAGAGGACACAGAGACTAACCCACAAAACTACAATTATCTTATATTAGACAAAGGTACCAAAAACATGCATTGCAGAAAAGATAGCCTCTTCAACAAATGGTGCTGGGAAAACTGGAAATCCATATACAACAAAATGAAATTAAACCCCTATCTCTCACCATGCACAAAACTCAACTCAAAATGGATCAAGGACTTAGAAATACAACCAGAGACTCTGCATCTAATAGAAGAAAAAGTAGGCCCTAATCTCCATCATGTGGGATTATGCCCCAACTTCCTTAATAAAACTCCTGTGGTGCAAGAATTAAAATCAAGAATCAATAAATGGGATGAGCAAAAGAGACAATCTATGAGGTGAATAGAGAGCCTACATCTTGGGAGCAAATCTTTACCCCTCACACATCAGATAGAGCACTAATCACTAGGGTATATAAAGAACTCAAAAAGCTAAACATCAAAAAACAAATAGCCCAATCAATAAATGGGCCAAGGGCCTAAAGAGACACTTCTCAAAAGATGATGTACAATCAGTCAACAAATACATGAAAAAATGTTCATTATTGGGGCTGGGGATGTGGCTCAAGCGGTATTGCGCTTGCCTAGCGTGCGTGGGGCCCGGGTTCGATCCTCAGCACCACATACAAACGAAGATGTTGTGTCCGCCAAGAACTAAGAAAAAATAAATAAATATTTTTWWAAAAAAATGTTCATTATCACTAGAAATTAGAGAAATGCAAATCCAAACTACTCAAAGATTTCATCTCACTACAGTCAGAATGGCAGCTATTATGAAGACAAACACAATAAATGTTGGTGAGGATGTGGAGAAAAGGGTACACTCATACACTGCTGGTGGGGCTGAAAACTGGTGCAGCCAATATGGAAAGCAGGACTTAAAAACAGCATACTACAGGGACACAGCCACATCAATGTTTATAGCAGCACAATTCACAATAGCTAAACTATGGAACCAACTGAGATGCCCTTCAACGGATGAATGGATAAAAAAAAATGTGGCATATATACACAATATTACTTAGCAATAAAAGAGAATAAAATCATGGCATTTGAAGGTAAATGGATGGAGTTAGAGAACATAATGGTAAGTGAAGTTAGCCATTCCCAAAAAACCAAATGCTCAATGTTTTCTTTGATATAAGGAGACTGATTCATAGTGGGATAGGGAGCAGGAGCATGGGAGGAATAGACGAACTCTAGGTAGGGCAGAGGGGTTGGAGAGGAAGGAAGGGGGCATGGGTTAAATGATGGTGGAATGTGATGATATGAATTGTTGTGAATATACTTTTATACAACCAGAGATATGAAAAATTGTGCTCTATGTGAAAAAGAAATGTAATGCATTCTGCTGTCATATATAAATAAATAAAATAAAAAGAAAAGACTAAATCAGAAAAGAGCCCTGCTTAACTTTTTTTTKAAAAAATCAATGTTCCATTTTGAAAGAAAATTTCAAAGTATTAGAAAATGTAAGGAACCCACTTCTATAAGACTACAGGTGGAAACGTTGGAAGAAAAAAACAGATATTTCACTAAAAGGAAAATCACTTTAAGGAACTGGAAACACACAATTACATTATAAACATACCTAAATACCTTTTCAACTTGCAACTCATAATAATTCAGGAGGAGAAAAGAAGAAGAAAGAAAAGGGACAAAAAAAAAATAGGTGACAAGGCTGACTTGGCATGAGGGGAGAACCTCTGAGGTGCAGTTTAACTTATTTTATTCAAAATATTAGTTGAACATTAATAACTGAAACCTGTGGGACTGGAAGCATTAATAGAATTAGGATAGTCCTCAGGAGTATTAAGGAGTAAAAGAAGGAATGTCAGAAGTCAGAAGATCTGAATCCTATGCTAGCTGAAGATGCCTGGGATAAAACTAAGGAGGGGGAAAGGCAGATAAATCAGAAGGGAAACTCAACACCCTAAGAAAGTCCCCAAAGCCATCCTCTCCAACCACTGTCTGCCTCATGGTAGGAAAAGTTTCTACCCTGATTCTTATTCTGTCAGGAAATAAGTTTCTAGATTTTTGGCAAGGCACTTAACACTTGGAACCTGAGATTCTTAACCTAAAAAAAAAAAAAAAAAAAACATATTTAAAGAAATTATTTTGGAGCTGTGTATGGTGGCGCAAGGCTCAGGAGGCTGAGGCAAGAGGATCACAAGTTCAAAGCCAGCCTCAGCAAAAGCAAGGCCCTAACCAACTCAGTGAGACTCTGTCTCTAAATAAAATGCAAAATAGGGCTGGGGATATGGCTCAGTGGTCAAGTGCCCATGAGTTCAATCCCCAGTATCCACCCCAGAAAAAAGAAAGAAAGAAATTATTTTAGAATTTCCTTTCAACTCTAATATTTATAAGTTCATTATTTATAACAGACATTTTAAACTAGTAGTTAATTTGCTTTTTTCCCCTCCATATTTCAAACTAAATATTTGAAGGTTTGTTAAGAAAATCAGTTTCCTGGTGTCTAAATAGATTTTTTGTCTGTTTGAAGGTAGGGTGGTTTTTTGTTTTTTGTTTTTTTGGTGGGGGGGATTAAATCCAGGGGTGCTTTACCACTCAGCTATATCCCCCATCCTTTTTATTTTGAGCCAGGGTCTCACTGAATTGCTAAGGAACTCACTAAATTGCTGGCATCAGCCTCAAACTTGCAGTCCTGTCTCAGTCTTCCAAGACTCTGAGATTACAGTTGCATACTACCATGACCAGCTTGAGGGTAACTTTTAAAAGCCCAGATACTGAAATAAATTGCCTGAAAAAAAAATCTGGTGATACTTCCCCTCCCTACAACTATCCATGCTTCATCAGATTAGAATTTTGAGAGTACACAGTCAAGATTTTAAAAGCCCCAAATAACAAACACTTCTAGTCACAAAAATTTCACACAAATTAAGAATGCCCCCTTAGCATCATCCTCTCTGGCAATGCTAAATGTGTAATGGTTATCAGAGAAAACCTTAGCAGACTTGTGTTGCTATTAACATAATAAAGTATAAGAATGCTTTGAAATAAACCCATTCAAATAAATACACAATTATTAAAACATAAATATAAAGGCTTAATATATAAAATAACCATATAATAAATTAATTAGGATCATGGACTCCTGAGGAAGATGGCGGCTGGGAATGAGTGAGCCGCTCTGTGCTCCGCGCCACCGCCGCCGCAGCGTATGTTGCT